ACATCGAATGAAAGTAATGTTGGCGAGACAAAGGATTCAAAGTAATTAAATTTTTATAATTTTCTACTAGTGTTGTAATAACAATATTGATAATGTTTTTTTATTTCTAGTGAAACACCACCCAAAATTACTGAAGAATATGGGACCCTTCGCGAGCAAGCCATTGTAAATTTTCAAAAGCCAAATTTACCCAATGTTAACGTGCCAGAAAGAATTATAATTTGTCTTGATGTGTGCTGTGATAATCAAAATTCAATGTATCGTCTCGGCGATGGGACTACATTCTCACCTATTAATATGTTAAAACGTGTGCTTGACTTCTTTATACATTCTAAACATGCAATAAACAAAGAGACACAGTTTGCATTGGTGTTACTAAAAGAAACAGATGCATATTTAGCTCATACTTTTACCAATAATGTCAAAGATATTATAAACACAATAGATTATGTTCATATAGAAGAATGTGAATCAGATAACTTTGATTTTAAACATGTTTTTGACATAATAAAAAGGGAAGTAGAAATTCCAGAATACAAACAAACACAATGCATGATTCCACCGCCATATGTTGTTAGGATGATTGTTTTGTATTCGCGATCAAATTGTGTGCCACTTATACTTCAAGAAGATCCTTATTTAAACTTCTTAAAAATGCAAATGTATTTTTACATTGACCTTCTCTTTGCACATGAGGAAGAATGTAATCTCTTTAAATGTGAAGAAATTTATGACACTCTACAGGATTTAGATAATGGTTATTCTTATGTATTTGAAGTATCAAGAAATGCTGCAAAGATTCACGAGTGTATTGCAAAGTTACTAGCGCATCCTCTGCAAAGGCTGTTACAGAAGAATACTGACTATAATTTCGGAACAAAATATCATGTGTCACATTCATAACTTTTAAGTTTATGAAATTATAAGAGGTTAACATGTATTCCATATTTGATTTGAATACAACAAACTTATATGCTTATGCTTAAGTTGGAAGTATTAGATAGGCCACGGGCAGTTTTGAGGGAAAGCTTCTCCACATAACATAATACATATTTTGAACGACCAATAAGCTACCTAGGTCTTAAAAATAACCTAAGTATTCAACTTTGAGATCTGAATCAAAATCTTTCAATCTAAAGAAAAAGGAATTGTGTTGTGGATGACCTTGTTATCCATTTAAAATCCTATGGATTAAATTATTCAATTTCCATTGCAAAAGGATTTTTATCCAACCATAATGCATTGGCTTCGACTGAGTTTGCCAAGTTCAATTTACTGTAAAATTCACGACAGCATAGTCTGTAAATATGTATTTATTCAAAAAACCCAAACACCTTCAAAATGCACCGGCAAATAAAAGCAGCCAGAGGTACAAATTATTGTTTTATTTAAAACTCAAAACTTAATCAAACTATACACTTTCGTAAATAATAAAAAATAAAATAACCTGTAAATAAAACCGTAAAAATCACTATTTACATTAATTGGATAGCAGGTATATGCTGCGATTTTAATTACATAACAAAACTGTATATTGTATGTAATCTTTCATTCTAGTATGGCTATAAATGCTAATTGTTTGTCTATTAAAACAGAATAGATTGTATAGAAGCTTCATACATAAATTTATTGATTACATACAAAAATACAAATCGTGTGCACGTTACACAAAATATTAAGCAGGCCAAACTCATTCACAGACAAACTCATCTCTAAAATTATGAAATAGCCACATAATAATTATCCAATAACACTATGGGAAAGGAGGCTGGAACAAAATGGAATATTACTCATTACTAACACATTGCAAATTACGCTACTTTTCAATATGTGTAGATTCATTAATCCGTGCTAAAAAATAGAGTCCTAATATCACTTTACTGGCACTATCGTTAAAAAAAGGGGCCATACAAAATGTCACAACATTTTTGTGAAGTTTATTCTTGCTTTATTGACCCCGTATTGATTGTGTGGCCCCAAATTATACGAACTTCATATATAAAGCCTTGTTTAAGAACAGATTTTAATAAAAAATAATATTTATAGCTAGATATATAACGTGTTTAATATATGCACCGTGTGATAGATTTGATACTTTTTAATTTAATAAAGAAATAACTTCGCACATCAGTCTCAATACTTTAAAATATATTTACATTACGAATTTAGCATACAGTATCATATAAATGAATAGTAAGAGAATGATTGATATTTTACTGAAGGACAGAGCATAATACGTTTCACTAGCTGATCTCGTTGTGCGTTCTAACTTCTAAACAATATATTGTACACAACACTATGCATCCAAGACTAAGAACATAATTGTGATATTAAGTGCAACGTAAAACATTTCTTCATTGTTTTTTATTAATAATGCCATTACTAAACGAAATTTAAAATAAAAAATAAAGCTACACAGGCGTTATTAAATACATCGGTATAACGCATCGTAAATATCACATTAAATATTTAAATACATACAAATACGCTACAATAACATACAAAAGAGTATTTCATTACAAAGATACATTCAAGACGGAGAATCAATTTTCAACCATGAGATTAACTTAATACTCTTTAATTTAATGTACTTTCCTCTTACAATAAATAATGTTTTTACTATTAATTGTGTTCGGTCGAAACGTGAATAAACGCTACGCATAATTATAGGAAGACGGGACTAGATGAATTATTAAGTGTATCAACTATTTTTACTCTTTAAGATCGACCGTATTTTATAATTAAAATACACCTGTTTAACACTAAATCACCGATCGCCGATGTTAGAACAGTAGTTGAGCTTAACTGTAAAGTAAATTCGTTTAAATAATTTATTAATTTAGTATCTAAAATGATTGATCGAGTCATATCGATTGTAACGTTGATGTTTAAAGGTTAATTTAGTGATAGTGTTGAATTGTTCGGTTCTAACACTTATAAACGAAAATTCCATGACTATGTATACTTGTTGCTTACACAAGGTTATACAAAAACGTGAGATTTTTTAAATACGAATTTGTAAGGTTTTGTAAGGTTGAGCATACTATACCTAGATTCCATTAACAGAAGCTTAACGATAAATGCTGTAAGACAAATGGTATTCTAGGTCTAAAATAAGTCTTATGGTAGATTTAAGAGAACCCACCTCTAATACATACGTTATTTTTCCTGTCTACTGTAAATTAAACAGAGATTCAGAATCCACGGTAAATGGCAGGATGATTTAATTCTTAATAAGTTCGTTACAAATTTAAAGATTGGAAAAATAACACGTATACTCTAGATTTAAATTTCGTATTATTTGTGTTTTTCCTTTATTTTCTTTTAGCGTTAAGTACAACAAAGGCATTCGCCAAATATTATATTAGAATCTCGTGGCTACTTTTTTAGTACTTACTCTTAGTCAGAAAACTGATGCCATATTTGCTATATTTGCTCCATTTCCTAGGATAATCGACCTGTGATACGCAGTTTAAAGTATATTTTTGTATTACCTTAATGATAGATAGAGAGAAGACATGATTGTTTTTTTTTGCTAAGATACGAATAAAAGAGTACAAAGATGTACAAAAAAAATTTTTTTATATACATGTTTAAGTTTTTTCGTAAGAAAACTTGTTTTTAAAGTTAATCTTCCTGAAAGTAAGATTTCAAAGTCAATGTTTGAGGTAGCATTTCAGAGTTGATTACTTTTATAAATGTATAGTTTTACTGCACATTTCGTGTTTTATTTAACTTTATTTACAAACGAGTTGTTGATACTCACCGGGTCCAACAAATTTCTATAAAGTCCTATCGAAATTCTTTCTGAACAACCAAGACTTACGAAGCACACACAAATGGACATAACATACATTAACGTCTTAGCGGTGATGAGTCTTCGTTTAACTGGTGTGTTAGTTTACTTATTTTAAGGGAAAATCCGCAAGATGGACGCGAAATCACCATATACATGGTTAATGCTACATACAAAACATTTTACTTTTAACATTTTTTAATGCTACATACAACATACAAGTTAAATTTATTAAAATATGACGGCCTCGCACTGGAAAAGGAAATTTGAAAATAAGTAACATAGACAAAACTTACTGACGTGATGACTAGTGCACGTATGTATATGAAACGTTCAGGTGATTACCTACCTTTAGCAGTTATCTAAAATGAGAATATTCAACTTATAACCTTTTTTATGTTGTTTTTTTTAACAAAAAATGAAAGAGAAAAGATAGAATATTGGATCTAGTCAATAAAGAGTTTAAAAAGCGATTTACACTGTCGAATAAATTACGTCAAAAAACTATGAAATATAGGTAATTTTGAATTTAAATTGTCGTACATTAGTACGAATACATTGGATAAAAGCATTGTGACGTCGCTATAGCCATTCTTCGACTCAAGACTACAAAAGAAGCAGATACGAGCATTAAAACTGTAAAGTTTTATTTTAATACAGTATTTGGCCGATATTGTTCTGTTGCATCACGTCACGTGACTCATACAAATGGAACTCTGCCCTTAAAATCAGAATAGCATTTGAGTTTAAAAAGAAATATCGACTAGGGCAGATCTTGAACCTGCTTCGCCAGCGTAGAGGTACCGAGTCTGTAGCTCTGTAGTCGGTCCTGCCCGAGTCGAATTTTTTTTCAATTTATTTTCGATTTTTAAATAATATATCAGTGCAAAAACATGTCAAAAATATTAGTAGACATCAGAATAGCATGTCATTTTACTTTAAAGCTAGCTTTATGACACAGGTTGGCTGTCTGTATATTGTCTATGGACGGATGAATCAGTGAGATTACACTATAAGAAAAAAAGTGTGAAGTGAAAATAAGACTTGGCCTAAAGATCTCTTTACCAGGCCATAAGATATATTTAAAAAAAGATTTGAGATTCGTTTCGTTTATATCGAATTACGAACACTGTCATAATTCCAAGTTACAATACAATAATTAAGAAAAACTGAGTTGTTCTAATAATCAAGAAAAAATTAAGCTATGCAAGCAACTGATACATCGAATGAAAGTAATGTTGGCGAGACAAAGGATTCAAAGTAATTAAATTTTTATAATTTTCTACTAGTGTTGTAATAACAATATTGATAATGTTTTTTTATTTCTAGTGAAACACCACCCAAAATTACTGAAGAATATGGGACCCTTCGCGAGCAAGCCATTGTAAATTTTCAAAAGCCAAATTTACCCAATGTTAACGTGCCAGAAAGAATTATAATTTGTCTTGATGTGTGCTGTGATAATCAAAATTCAATGTATCGTCTCGGCGATGGGACTACATTCTCACCTATTAATATGTTAAAACGTGTGCTTGACTTCTTTATACATTCTAAACATGCAATAAACAAAGAGACACAGTTTGCATTGGTGTTACTAAAAGAAACAGATGCATATTTAGCTCATACTTTTACCAATAATGTCAAAGATATTATAAACACAATAGATTATGTTCATATAGAAGAATGTGAATCAGATAACTTTGATTTTAAACATGTTTTTGACATAATAAAAAGGGAAGTAGAAATTCCAGAATACAAACAAACACAATGCATGATTCCACCGCCATATGTTGTTAGGATGATTGTTTTGTATTCGCGATCAAATTGTGTGCCACTTATACTTCAAGAAGATCCTTATTTAAACTTCTTAAAAATGCAAATGTATTTTTACATTGACCTTCTCTTTGCACATGAGGAAGAATGTAATCTCTTTAAATGTGAAGAAATTTATGACACTCTACAGGATTTAGATAATGGTTATTCTTATGTATTTGAAGTATCAAGAAATGCTGCAAAGATTCACGAGTGTATTGCAAAGTTACTAGCGCATCCTCTGCAAAGGCTGTTACAGAAGAATACTGACTATAATTTCGGAACAAAATATCATGTGTCACATTCATAACTTTTAAGTTTATGAAATTATAAGAGGTTAACATGTATTCCATATTTGATTTGAATACAACAAACTTATATGCTTATGCTTAAGTTGGAAGTATTAGATAGGCCACGGGCAGTTTTGAGGGAAAGCTTCTCCACATAACATAATACATATTTTGAACGACCAATAAGCTACCTAGGTCTTAAAAATAACCTAAGTATTCAACTTTGAGATCTGAATCAAAATCTTTCAATCTAAAGAAAAAGGAATTGTGTTGTGGATGACCTTGTTATCCATTTAAAATCCTATGGATTAAATTATTCAATTTCCATTGCAAAAGGATTTTTATCCAACCATAATGCATTGGCTTCGACTGAGTTTGCCAAGTTCAATTTACTGTAAAATTCACGACAGCATAGTCTGTAAATATGTATTTATTCAAAAAACCCAAACACCTTCAAAATGCACCGGCAAATAAAAGCAGCCAGAGGTACAAATTATTGTTTTATTTAAAACTCAAAACTTAATCAAACTATACACTTTCGTAAATAATAAAAAATAAAATAACCTGTAAATAAAACCGTAAAAATCACTATTTACATTAATTGGATAGCAGGTATATGCTGCGATTTTAATTACATAACAAAACTGTATATTGTATGTAATCTTTCATTCTAGTATGGCTATAAATGCTAATTGTTTGTCTATTAAAACAGAATAGATTGTATAGAAGCTTCATACATAAATTTATTGATTACATACAAAAATACAAATCGTGTGCACGTTACACAAAATATTAAGCAGGCCAAACTCATTCACAGACAAACTCATCTCTAAAATTATGAAATAGCCACATAATAATTATCCAATAACACTATGGGAAAGGAGGCTGGAACAAAATGGAATATTACTCATTACTAACACATTGCAAATTACGCTACTTTTCAATATGTGTAGATTCATTAATCCGTGCTAAAAAATAGAGTCCTAATATCACTTTACTGGCACTATCGTTAAAAAAAGGGGCCATACAAAATGTCACAACATTTTTGTGAAGTTTATTCTTGCTTTATTGACCCCGTATTGATTGTGTGGCCCCAAATTATACGAACTTCATATATAAAGCCTTGTTTAAGAACAGATTTTAATAAAAAATAATATTTATAGCTAGATATATAACGTGTTTAATATATGCACCGTGTGATAGATTTGATACTTTTTAATTTAATAAAGAAATAACTTCGCACATCAGTCTCAATACTTTAAAATATATTTACATTACGAATTTAGCATACAGTATCATATAAATGAATAGTAAGAGAATGATTGATATTTTACTGAAGGACAGAGCATAATACGTTTCACTAGCTGATCTCGTTGTGCGTTCTAACTTCTAAACAATATATTGTACACAACACTATGCATCCAAGACTAAGAACATAATTGTGATATTAAGTGCAACGTAAAACATTTCTTCATTGTTTTTTATTAATAATGCCATTACTAAACGAAATTTAAAATAAAAAATAAAGCTACACAGGCGTTATTAAATACATCGGTATAACGCATCGTAAATATCACATTAAATATTTAAATACATACAAATACGCTACAATAACATACAAAAGAGTATTTCATTACAAAGATACATTCAAGACGGAGAATCAATTTTCAACCATGAGATTAACTTAATACTCTTTAATTTAATGTACTTTCCTCTTACAATAAATAATGTTTTTACTATTAATTGTGTTCGGTCGAAACGTGAATAAACGCTACGCATAATTATAGGAAGACGGGACTAGATGAATTATTAAGTGTATCAACTATTTTTACTCTTTAAGATCGACCGTATTTTATAATTAAAATACACCTGTTTAACACTAAATCACCGATCGCCGATGTTAGAACAGTAGTTGAGCTTAACTGTAAAGTAAATTCGTTTAAATAATTTATTAATTTAGTATCTAAAATGATTGATCGAGTCATATCGATTGTAGCAGTGGAATGTCGACTCACCGAGACCAATATTCAGTCTTTTGATGGATTAGAATGATTGATTTATTTGACTAAAACCTTCGATGTTAATTCTACGGTCTTCTACTTATTATAGCTTCTTCTAAATTTAGTAAAAGTCTTGGCTTATCCGAATGAAAACCGAGCGAATTTGATGCCTACAATACAAAATCTTTTTATTTAAAGAAAACTTTTTTCGTATCGATTTTCAAACCAAATATTTCCGTTTTAGTAAAGCCGTCAGTTTATAAATGTAACACAGTACAAGCGGTTAATTTCGCCAATAAAGGCTAAATATTTATGGTAATTGTAGAAATTCTAGTATGTCCTTTGTACTGTCTTCTTTAATCGACGAAGAATATCATGGATCATCGAAATTTGGGCTAGGGCACCGGTATGACGTAACTTGAAAATCAAGTGACAAAATTAGGCCATATACATTTCAAAAACTATAGCACACACGTCATTGATCCAATTCAACACTATAAGGTCTCCAAGAACAGGTCTCAAAATTACCCGCAAGACTTTTCTCATTTGGAAAATATGTTAGATTTTAAATTTCGGCGTAATAGGGAATATTATCAGAATACATTTTAATCAACATTTTCAATGACAATCGCGTACAAAGTTATAAAACATGGGATTAATTTATTCTCTACATGACTACGAATAAAAATGATTCTGTATACATATATCTAAGGAAATTTATATATTTCTTTATATTCATAAATTACATTTTTAAATAATTATAGAAGATCATCACAATAGTCAATCAATGTTCTTTAAGGAGCTTTTGTATATTCACGCGGCCTGCACGGCAGTTGACATCTTTACTCGTATCGCCTGAATAATTTTTTACTTGATTAAAGACAATTAATTGCATTTAGCCTAATAACTTTAAAAAAAATCACTTTATTGCCCAGTTTTTATATAGATCAACTGCAATTTAAGTACTGTTTACCATGTTCACTGTAAATTTAAAATATTTTACCAACTTGAGTTCGTAGCGAGGGCCAATTAACACACAGTACGCCACCCTAAACACTGCTAAGATACAATTTCCCCAAGAAATAATGACACAGATTTAACTTTTTCTTACTGCTCAAACTGTTATCACCAAATTAGCCCTAAACATTCCTAATCAACGTCCGTGTTTCTCGATTAAATTGGGTCGCACTAGTTTTGACACATTCACTCAGGTTTCACCATACAAGGAAGCGTTAAGGTTGAGGTTCACATTCCGACACGGGGAGGTAATTGACGGCGTTCGGGTCGTTCTCATTGCTAGAAGTGTGGGTTGGAGTATGGGGTCGCGGGACACACGGCAGTCACAAGACGCAGGCGGCAAACACCGCCATGGCCCGTCATGGCGGTGGCGGGTTGTGGGCGTTGCGATCGGTCCGTTCATTGCGTTCGGGCAGAGCGGGCGCGCTCTCGTCCGCTCCCGTGCCGCCGCTGCGTGTGCGCATGACGTACGCGTACGTGCGGTACCTTTTTATCTAAAATTAGTCAAAAGTAAGAGATTATATAAACAAATATTTAGTCATAGATTTGGTGGTATATTCTGGCTGGGATATTCTAATATAACATTGAAATTGAAAATTACTAGTGATGACTATAGGTGAAATTTTGGATTTTAGTCGCTTGTGTGAGTAGGATTAGAGTTAGAATTCAATTAGAGATAGCGAGATTACTTACTTCGTATACAAGGTAGTGATCCTTATCTCGGCAATGTTGTTGTTCGCGAGAGTGGTCACGCGCATGTCTTAAGGCCGCGAGCTCTTCTTCCAATCGTGATACGCGTTCTTCGTGATCAGCCAACTGATCACGCTGATAAATAAAACATATAATAAATTGTAGTGATCGGATTCTTGGCTGTCAGTTATTACTTTTAACGTAAACTTAAAGTACTTCATAAAGTGGTCATAGTATAACCAATATAACATTAATATGTGATATAGTTACCATAGAGAGCTTGGTATGTGAGCAAGGTAGCAGAGGCCGCTGGAACTTCCTCTGAGAACCCACCGCTCCTGCAAGCGGTGGAGCGGAATACGCCGCGCATACGAAGTTGATCGTCTCCACCCATGAGTGAAGCTCTTTCGAATCACTGAAATGGGACGTGCAATATTGCTTACCTTATGACTTTCAAGCTATGCATATACTATGTTGTATACGATTAAACATGAATAGGCTAAAAGAGACTAAGAAGGGTCGAACCCTATAGATAAGAAAAGTGCAAAGTATAAATTAAAACTCATTTATATTTTAATACGTAATTGTTGCCCTGTATCCAGTAGAATATTTGTCTTTCCTCATTCGTATCCATTTGTTAAGAAGAAGTGTAATAAAATTTTCAAAAAACAATATTGGTCTTACCTCGTTTGAAATAAATATTCAGCCTGGTCCGCAGTTTGTAATCTAAACACGTGCTGTTTCTTTGTATAGTCTGTCGCTTTTGTAGCTAGCGCGTGGTGTATCCTGAGGTAGAAATTAAAAGTTCTTTTGGCACAAAAAATTGTATAATGTTAAAATTAGCAATATTGGATTTAAGACAATTATTTACACAGGCTTCGAATCTAACCTGGGGTGACCAAAACTATTTTGTTTCTCGGCATTCGAACCTAGGGCCCCTCGCGTTTAATCCCATATACCGTATCAAAACGTAATAAAAAGGTACCTTATAGCGTTATGTAAATTATCAGACATTTGACTTCGCCGAAAGCCGTGTTCATCTTTATGTAGATATAAAACTAAATCTCGCAGCGTGCAGTAGAACATCTTCCATCCTCGTCTGCCAAACGGAGCTAGAAAAAGACAGAATTTTGGACTTCAACTACCTTATCATCTATAAAACCAGTGTTAACTGGAGTTGGTCATCAAAAAACGAGACATAGACAGTAATGTCCACGACTTGGACAGGCCAGACTGGTGCAGTGGATTTTAAAAAGTTATTAGATACGTAGTTTGGTAAGGAAAACGTTCTTCGTAAACCGCTAGGCGGTTCCTTTCCGGTTATGAATAGGTTTAAAATTTTATTAAATTAATAATGTGCATGAATGAAAAAAAACATGAAACATAGTAATGAGTTATACTAACTCTTTTTTCCATTTGGTTCCATACAACATTTCCGCATCACATAACCCTTCTTGTACTCAACAGCTCGGCTCTGGTCTGGCACATGCAAGAACGGGTTAGTGCCTGCACTGTTATTCCGGTTTTCGTTTCCACTTGTGGCTGCTGGTGTTTCAGCATCTCTGCCAAATAAGAATAACGAAGGATAAATAAGCTCAATGAAAAAAAAATAACATTACAACCGACTTATATTTGGTTATTTAGGTTTTTAAGCAATTGGACTTACAGTGCCCATTGCAGCGGCTGCGTTCGTATCGCGTGATAGAGTAGCTTGAGGGTCTCTCGAGGGAAATTTTCACCATCGTTAAGATCCGCCAAATTGTCTATGAACTCTGCGCATGACATTCGGCGGAATGAGCCACCGCCGCACCCGTGTAGATCCGTGTTGAGTAGCATTATTGCACATGTTAACGTGTGTACTGCGTCTGTTGGGAGATATTACATTATTCTAAAGACAATTCTTAAAAACTCGTCGACTTCACGATACTATCTGCAATAACTATGTAATATTATACATCCTACACACAGAGATTCAGTCTCGTTCAAATGCTTGGCTACTTATCTAAGTTGAGCTGTGTAGCACATTACCGAGGCAGTAACTTACTATTTTTATATCAGCTCTCACTTAGACAATTATAAATAGCAAGGTACTGTTGCAAATTAATCTATTAAATCAGTTTTTTATTGAGTTAAAATATTTGTCTAACCTTGTGAGTTAAAGGAACCAGGGTTGCATTCAAGGTAGCGCCTAGAGAAGTGTACGAGCACTCTTTCCCTCTCTTGAGTCTCCCCACTAAGCGCGAAACGCGAGAGAAAAGTCCGTAGTGCAACGTCCAAGGTCGCGCCAGTAAAATCGAAGTGCTTCACATATTCTTCAGCTACCGCTTTGGAGAAATCGTTGCTGAAAATCGTAAGCATTCACATTAAAAAAAAACAAAAGACATGTTTAATAGACTTAGAAACAGGGTTTGTTAATCAAATGTTAGCGATATACCATACTATAATGATCTTCGATCGACGGGTTCGATTCCCGCCGGGTCCAACATGTTTTTCAAATTTAAATAAAACATTTTAACAGTTTAAAACGCGATATATATTAGTTACACTTATTTGAAAATTATTTCATTCTCCACTTCACCACGGCTGCTGTAAGGCATCCGACACGTAGGTTCGCAGTTAAAAATAATGTTCTAATAAGTAACTAATATATACCGCGTTTTAAACGTTAGTGTTTTATTTAAATGTGTACTACTCGCATAAACTACAGACAGTATGTTTTTCAAAATAACGTTTAAAATTATTATTTTGCAGCATGTGGGCGTTCATATGAAAAATCTGAACATGAAATGGGAGGTAGGAATATCAAAGTTTCGACGTGTAAAGCTGCCTTTCGTTTACAATATAGATTATATTTCAAAACACACAAAGCCAAAATCAACAATCCATCTTGCTTAAACGGATGACTTATTTCACCTTCCATAATATGAGCCCCGTGCTTATCTGTTCAAAAGAGGTCTTAATGCCTACGTACTTTTTACTAAGATGTCTTGAGACGTCAGATTTTTTGAACCCGTCGAGGTGGTAAAGTCGCTTAGCAAGCCGCTCCGCAGACGGGATATCGACAGCTTTCGGACTGTAGTGGAATGAATGCAGAGAGTCCACGTCCGAACCTTCGTCGGAGCCAGCGTCACAACCTAACTCCTGCAAATTTATATTATTACAAATTAAATTTAGCTTTTGGCTTTTCTAATATTGTATAAGTTCTGAAGTGAGAAATATAAGATGTAAGATATGGGTTTAGCCCAACTTTGGGGTAGGGAGTACGATTGTTAATAAACGGAGATTTAAATAGAAAAGTAAAGACAAACAGAAATGGTTCGTGATTCAAGTAAGTTCAAATTGTAAAAGTAAGAAAATTACGTTGTAATTTGGAGAAGGAACCAACCTGATAGCCTTGATTCTCCGGCGACGTGCACCCATTTTCTTTACCGTTCTGAGCGTAACTCGTGTTGTTATTGTTCAAATTATCGTTATTATTGCCTCCTTTATCAGGTCCCTTCACTTGAATTACAATTCTATAGTCTTTGTCGGCTCCGTTGAGGGTAACATCACTGGTATCAGACAAGGTGGCAGATTTAGCTCGTTTGTGGCACGGTTCCGACACGAGTATCGTCGAATCGGAGTCGGATGGATCGGAGAGTTCCATCCGGGGACACTCACGTCCCGTCTCGAACATGTCGTCCTGGTCCTGGAAGTCTGGACTAGATATGTTGGAAACGGCTTCCGAAAGACTCATGTCACCTGGAAGTTTAAAAATCGTGAGATTTACTACCTACCCTTACAGTGCTGAAACTAGTGTGTAGATAATAAAACAGAAATTTATCCTGTTAATTTCACAAACATATATATACATACATAGTGTTTGGGCCTTATAACTTTTTCACTCAACTTGTAAAAGTACTTTACTACTTCTGAATTTTAGACATATTACTTCTACAATAATGCTGGTGATATCGAAATAAAAAGTTCTACCATTCAAAGTGCGGTGGTGTTGTGGTACAAGGTGTTGCCTATGCGGTGGCGACAACGCTGACCATGAGGCTGACGTCGGAGACGCTGGCGATGATGACCTGCCACAGGAAATAGGAAAGCGTGTTATAAAAAATGCTTAACTAAATAAAGTCACTTTAATTCAATAATTAATGAGCATATAAGCAAACAACAGTTATTTTTCTCCTTCTTAACTTTGGGTTGAACACTAAGCAAGAGCAATAAGCTACGTTTTTTTATTTAGGTAATTTATTTATATTTTTGGGATAATTACCTTTGTGACATGCCATCAGAAATTGACGTAGAGTTCGACGTAGCGGCTGAACCGTTACACTGCGACACCGGTGCGTTGTACGTCCATACAATTCTGAAGATAGTAGAATATATTTTTAAAGGAGAAATAAGTAACTCTTAATGGTATACTAATACAATAGCAATAGTTTGTATAATAAACCTATTAAAAACTGATTACGATACAATGAGTCGCAGAGCAGGAAACTTATTTTATTGTTATTGCTGTTTTGAAATCAGATACCAGTAAAAAGATTAATTTACACAAGTAACAGTCATCTCATAAAAGCAAATCAAAGCTACTACAAAAACAAAAGCATTAGCTAAAAAGTATTTTTAGGTACATCTTACATTTGTCTGTTTAATTAATATTTTTAATCTTAATTAAATAAATCCTGGTGGAAAGCTAGTCGTTATTTATATGTTTATGTGCGTATCGTTGGTTTCACAGTTCATATATTATAACCGTAATATCGTAACAGGAAAAACATCTGCTTTAATAGTTTTGTTAAGAAGAGCCTACAAGTATCATATCTTAGAAATATCCTTTACTATATTTTCTATCGGGAAAAGCAAATGTATCACCTATCCCTCTCATCGGAGTCAGATCGTGGTCCTGGCGTAGCGGAGTCCGGGCGGGCGTCGAGCAGTGTATTGAGCGATGACGTCACGTCCTCCTCCATGTCCACTGCCACCGCGCTGAGGGAAGACTCCTTCTGAAACTTACGGAACCGATTTTTCACCTCCCCAGAAAGTAAAGTTTAAGTTGTTGTACTTGAAAAATCGTGTTTAATCCTGGTCTAAGTCTACTGGTTAATTTTGTCCTTTGTTACCCGCTAAAGACGCGTTCCCCTTCCTCGGTCAGAAGGGACTTAGTCTACTTGTTCTTAAGTACTTCATTATGATACTAATTATATGCCAAACTTGACTGTTGTTATTTTCTTAAGCCCATCTAGAAGTTTATGGCAGTACTTAAAGAAGATTCTTTAGATAAACCAACTACCAAAAAAAAGTGATATGTTGTAATTTAGAATCGCTTACTAACAATTCTGATTTATACTACTATAATACTATTAACACAAAACAATTTGAAGAAAATTAAAATGAAACAATTGATCATTAGTTTCCGCGAGTTGAACCCACGATCTCTCGCGCTGCAAAACAAAAATAAATGTACCTGTAAATGGTCTTCAGAACGTGATGTGCGGACTATTTGCTGTTGTGTTCTAGACGACATTTCCCCTGTTGACGCTGCGCCCCCAGCGGGCGACGCAGGCTGAGAATTAAATCTGGAAGAAATAGATCCATGTTTATGGAGACTCTTAACAGTGTTTAGAAACTAACGAACCTGTCGACGTTGGGAAAAGAAAACGAACTCGTAATTTATAATATTTTTTAAAATATAGACGATGTCCTTTACCGGCAGTTTAAATATAATTTAATAATTAAATAGAAAGGTACGGTAAACTTTAACGGTTTACAACGCCAAATATAGTATGAAGTTATTTTTATGTATTTTAACTACGACCCCTACGCCCGACGCTCCCGCCGTGGCCGCTGCAAAGCATCAGAAACTACAGGCTATTAAATTACTACGTTTATACGAGTACGTACATCTTATTGGCATGATCGCCGACTAGGCCTGTGTCTGGTGATGAATTGTGTCTCTGTGACAGTTCTGCCCTCGCTTGCACACGGTTTTCGCTTGGAGAAGCTGGCGTTGAATTATATCTGAAATGAAAAACCTATTATTAAAACACTCAATAGATTTCTTACGAGCCTCCAAGTATGTCATAGCATTAATTTAAATCAAATCACAACAAAAATACAATAAAATACAAAATAGAACAACAAAATAATACATATTAAATTTTTTTTTTTTAGGTTTTCGTAGATGCGACCATAACGGCCTCTAAAATACTTCTGCTGGATATTTTCAGTTCTGTATTAAATCTTTAAAAACATTTAATAGAGAACTGAACATTTTATTATATTTTAACGTATGGCACATGATGGCATTAGATACATTAAAAATCGATATTAAATAAAAAAAAAATACAACACTGGCTGTATTTGAACCAACATCCACAGCGTTCCGTCCTGTTTGCTCTAATCATGGACACGGTAGGTCAATTGGTTGGAGCAACAGCAATTTGTATTAAGTCTTGCTTAGTTATAGATCAAGACTATTTTCATTTTAAATTAAATGTAATAAGTATATAAGATACTTAGACCTCACGGTAAATATAGCAGTAGTAAGCATATAAACCTGTGGTAATGTGTTCTATGTGTAGGCGCATGGTGATTGTGGTGCGGGTGTTCGACTCTCGACAGGTTCAGCATGAGATCGCCGGTCATCATGTACGCTTCGAATTTGGGCTGATTAGCCCTAGGCCGCCGTAACTTGTCCTCGGCTAATAGGGCTTCGCAGCTGTCGCCCGATTGGACGCCCGACCCGTTGCTAGAAGAATTGCTCGATGAGTTGCTATTCGAATTACTGGAAAGCGGCGAGTCTGGTCTGCGGAGATGGACAGGAACGTTTAATATTCTGTTATCTATACCCGATGTACCGGACACCATATAACTGATAATACCTCTGTATTATTGGGCAATAACGAGTTGAAAGGAGACTAAAATATACTTTTAATGTCAAAAACAAAACCAATAAATTCCCAAGAGATATCCATAGGTATATTCGTATTGTAGGACGAGGAGAGTCGTTCCTTCTTCTCAACCTTTTTCTGTATAGTTACTTATTTAAATAAAATAAATTAACGGTTTAAAACGCCAAAGACAGAAACGAAGTCTTGTAAGCTGACTCAAAACTATTAATTACATCTTCCAGGGTTACCCTTGAATTTCGTTAATGGAATACCTATTACTCATAATCATTAATCGAAGGTCATTCCCATAAAGTACATCAGAGGTCACTGATAACCGACGACACACAAAGTAAACATTTTAGAGAAAATACCATTCAAGCCCGTTACTATGTTGTTACTTCGCAATCAAAACATTGTTATCAAAACAAACAAGTGTATTTATAGCGGCGACTTTGAATTTTTTATGCTAATTTAACCGAGGAAAACGGCCCGCTAGATAATATTATGTATTACGTATTCAAATGATGGAGTATCGTAATGCATCATATATTAGTTAAAGGAAATTAAAGTTTTTCGGTTATTTATTACAGTCTGTATATGGGGCCGCTAGAGCCAGAGTAGCCTAACTGCATTTTTTTTTATGATTTTGCTTATTTTTATAGTCCAAAAAAAGTTCATCTACAAGAGCACAGTCCCCGATAATTGTTAAGATAATACTTACACTAAAAATAATACAAATTCATTTTCGCGTAAGTTAATTGCACATTTTTTCTTATTAAAAAATATATTTTTCCTTATTAGGCCACTCTAGGTCTAGCAGCCTCATATACCTTTGCGTTCATACCTCAATGATTAAGTGTCTTATATGTTAGAAATGCCTTTAACACGAGGTCTTGATATCGAATCCCGGGGAAATATTAAAATTGATTCGGTCGGGCACGGCACAGACGTGGGATCAACTAATTGAAACAGAAACGAATGTATACACGGTTTTAGGCTTTGGTGTTTAACAATCTTTAGTCAGAAAGTTAAGATACAGTTTCAGTTCAAAAAAAATAACAATTTGACGAAATTTAAGATTGAATGAAAATGAGCATCGTAATTTTTTGCACAATTCATTGACATTATACAATGGATGCACATTAAAAATATCTAAAGCGTGTTATATTACTGAAAGCAAAAATGTTTCCCCGCACCGGGACTCAAATTGAGCGATAAAATGTTTAGTTCCATTACGTAGAGTGAAGCACATAATAAAAATAAATTAAGGAAGCAAAGTGCTTTAGTTGTTAAATAATGTAGTTTTCAAGGCAATGGATGACCCTCCCAACAAATAATTATCAGTTTCTGCAACCGGCAAGTTAACCCGTAGTCTGCATGAAGCAACTAATAAGTATTGTATGTTTCACATTTTATATTGTTACTCGAGTTTCGGGGGGGGGGTCCGCCTTCTGGGGAAAAAGGGGGGGCCGGCTAAAAAGCTTTCGAAACTCGGTCACTGTTTAAACAAGAAATATGTAATAATAATAGTTAAAGGACTAAAATATAAAAACTTTAACGGTTTAAAACGTGAAACTAGTCCATTTCGATGTGTTTTATCCGCGTAAGGGTTTGATGGGCACGTTGGTCTAAGCAACTAAAGCGGATAGCAATATATGGCTAATAATGAACGGGTCGTCGTCCAAAATGTTTTAAGAGATTTGTCGAAAATCGGAATATCGATATGCCTACCAACCGTATTGGTTGGTAGGCATATCGAAAATTTTGTCCGGCTTACGTTACCCACCGTCCACAGATGAAAAAGATGTGAAGTTTAAACGCGTTACGGTTTCAGTGAATTTCCAAATATCCCAAGACGAAATAGGTCGACAGCATGACGTTTACACGTTATGTATTACAAAAACAGTAAACTCAATATTAGAAGAAAACATCGTTTACTCAACTGCAGAATTCTCAGACCCACATAACCGACACGTAAGTTAATAGAAAAGTCCAGACGAGGCACGTCATTCATGCCGCGACGGCCCTCATGCAGTTAGAGGGTTGGGGGTGGTATCCCCAGTCTGCAGCGCACATGGCACCCGATCGTTTATCGCATACGGATATCAGCTGTCAACTATACGAGGGTCGATATAACGTTACGCCCAAAATAAACAACTAAATATAATTCTCGGGGAAACGGCGAGGGCAGAACCGAAAATAAAACCTCCTAATCTAATTAGGACGAAGAACGACCGCACACTTCCGATTTTACGGATTACTGGATTCGACCACGGCCTACACCTTGGATAGAATCGTTCTTACAATAATAACAGGAACAAGACTTCATTAATTCCATAGAATGGAATTTGAGAATAGGATAAAATACTTACTTATCGCTTTTGATCCGCGAACCACTATTCCGTCGTTCGGCTGCTGCTGTGAGGTACCTCCTCACGTTCGCTTTGATTTGAGGGTCTGTAGAATACACAAATATTAACTATATAATGAGCTCATTTGAAGAAATCTAAATCAACGAACTTGTACTGTTACGAAGAGGTATATAGAAAAAAATTGGGGGGAAAAAAAAAAAAAAAAAAAAAAAAAAAAAAAAAAAAATAAAAAAGAAAGGGAAAAAAAAAAAAAAAAAAAAAAATATAGAAAAAGGGGGGGGGGGGGGGGGGGGGGGGAAAAAAAAAAAAAAAAAAAGGTGTTTTTAAAAAAAAAAAAAAAAAAAAAAGAAAAAAAGATTGATAGATTTATTTACATTCGTATTATTATTATAAATTCAGCCCGTCACTCGCCTATTACTAGATATTGTATAACATTACTACTAGTATTATCAAATAACTCACCCTTCTTCAGTCGTAAAGTGACGGGATCCGAAGAGAGTCGTAAACATTTTAAAACTGAAACAAAATAAATCGCTTGTTTACGATTACGATACGATGTCTCTGGCATTAAAGAGTATTTTGATGAACTTGGCGAGTGAACTGCGCTGAAATAAATTATATGACTCACGAGTTAAGGCGCCGTTTGTACTGGATTAATTTAGCGAGCGTCGAAATTAAGAGCACATACCTAGTCAATGAAAATTTATTGTCACTGATAACAGTTTTATCACATGTACTGGAGTTATAATACGACGATGTAAGAAGTGAAAAATGCGAAATGGACAACCGTAATATAAGCTTAGACTTTTAGACCTAAGCTAAGCGTTGTTTAGTTTAAAATTAAATGTCTATAGCTGAATACAATTATTTAACATCTCGTTCTTTACAATCAGTTTAGTCTTTTAAGGTCAACAGCGACATACGTACATAAACTGACTAAATCCTTAAAAAAAAAAAAAAAAAAAAAAAAAAAAAAAAAAAAAAAAAAAAAAAAAAAAAAAAAAAAAAAAAAAAATTTTGGGGGGGGGGGGGGGGGGGGGGGGGGCCGCCCCCCCCCCCCGGGGGGGCCCCCAACAAATGGCCCGGGGAGCCCATTTTTTTTCCGTATTTTAAATGACTAAATCCTTACATTTCTTTGGGTTTGTCGGATAGAAAAAGATGCAAACTAGAAACATTCAATGTAACCATAGACACCAATATTATAAGGTATGCTTATTTTACATAATACAACTAAATCCTTCTTCAGCACTTTCTACGTATAACGTATTAAGGAAACTAAATCCCATTTACCCTAAATAAAGATGATTCCTTGACCATTTCAAGTTTTATTACCACCTTTATCACTACAAGGGCAAACGAAACAAATTTTCTCCTATTCCAGGGTAGCAAACCCAAGGCCTCGACTTTACACAGGTGGCGTAGGTGTGCAGTGTAACATTGCAATTATTCGTTTTTCATGGAAATCGGTCAATCGAAGATTTAGAAAATGAGTGTGAAATGGGAATTGCTAGATCGCGTGCGTTCAGTTAGAGCATCTGTAACGCAATTATTGAATTAATGTTAAGACCACTAAACTTGTCTAATAGTACTGTATCGCTCGAATATCTCTACCATTTAAGACATTTTTAGTATCAACTTGTTAAAGTTTAAGCTTGGTGTTATAATTAATTTATGTTGTCTTGACCGCCTCTGTAGCCAAACGGCTAAACGTATCGCCTAGCATTGCGTTAAACGCAAGAGGTCGACTGGGTTCGAATTTCAGGGAAAAAAACAATTGTTTCGGTCAGGCAGAGCACAGAAGTCTGATCCACTACTTGCCTGTTAAAGAACGGATCAGTGAAACGGACACAGAAATGTGTTCGCCCCATGCCCCACGAGGGGGAAACGGGATTTCACTTATGTTGTCTTGAGGATGCAAAATTACCAGTTAGTTGTTCGAAGTGATTATTATTTAAAAAATCTTATCACTCTCGTTTCTATTCGCAACCGTTTACCATAAGTCAAGCATTCAGAGAATATGACATAACATTACTATGCATGCTGTACTCTTGATCTGCCTATAATATGATACAGCGAAAATACTATAACTTCTATAATCAGGTGCGCGTTGGCACAGTTCGTGATTTTGGAGAAAAGTGTCGTGTTGTGATAAATGGCGAATTCCTTACCTTCCCGTGTCGTGAACCGGTTCACATCAGTCCCATTAACCTTGAGCAATACGTCTCCCGTCTCAACCTGTAATTGAACGTACGCGTTTATTAACATCAATTCGAACAACAGATTTCAGAAAGTGACAAATATTATATAATATTGCGAATACTGTCTGTTGTTTACGCGAGTAGTAAACATTTATATAAAATACTTTAACGGTTTAAAACGCGTTATATATTGGTTAAACTTATTTATTCGACCATACTTTTAATTCGACCGAGGCGGAGTTTCCCCGTGATCACGGCTGCTGCAAAGCATCCGAAACGCCGGGCTGTAGTAAAATAAGTTTATATAACTAATATACATATATCGCGTTTAAAGCCGTTAAAATGTTCTGTTTAATATTACGAATATAAAAGCCAAAATTCCCCTTTACTAACTCTGTTTCTAATGCCTTGAAAACATAAGGTTGGGTCTCATGACCTGGTAATAAATCTGAAGAGATTGCTGCGTTGAACATGCTTACGTCATAAGGAGAAGTAGTACTAAATTAAAAATGTATTTATATTAAATAAATGCATGATAGGCAGGACTTGAACCGCCATCCAAAGCGAACGATGCCACTGCTCCAACCAATTAGCGCTACGGTGTTAGTAGTAATAGTCGACTTTTTGGTAAACTGATACCATAGAACCGTGGCCATTATTGGGAAAATAAAACTGTTAACTAAATTATAAGCAATAGAAAATACCCCGAGCTGTATTTTGAAGCAGGCATTGGTATTTGCGGTCGTTGGTTGCGGATCACTTCCGAAGTTTCTAAAATCCTAAACGTCTCAAGTCTGGCATCTAAGCCTCGGCTATTTAAGTTTGTGGTCACTTATAGACTTCATTGGCAACGTACACTTAATAGTAACTTAGTGGTTTATATCTCATCCTCTGATTGTCCACGCGCATAAGCACGCAAAATACAAACTAACGATAACTCAATTACAACGATAGTAATTTTAGCGCGTTCCCAAAATAATTTCAGACACTTTCTCGATTGTATGATAATAAAATGTGATAATTGATTGATAGGTTACTTTTACGAGCAGCCGATTACAATAACTTCTAAATATATATATATATATAGCTGTCTATAATGACTCTAAAAATAAGTACTCCACATATTACAAAAATTAATTTTATATTAGACATACAATTTAATATCAGATCTATAGATTACGCCAATGTTTTTAAACGAGAATCAAATTAATAGGAAAAGTAACATCTGGGTTTTTAATTCAATCGATACCATTTTGCAGGTAAACTTAAATTTGGCGCGAAAGACATAAGGAATTTCCTTTGATACATAGAATGATTATTATGATTGCTGTCATAGACGTCAAATCCCGTTCACCTTTAATAACATAGACGGCACTAACATGATATTTATTATAAGTTTTACTACGATATAAACAACGTGAGGTTATTGTAAAATAATGCGCTTTGCAATTAAATCACAATTATATGAGTAACATCGTGATACAGATAATGTAATCGCGTAGTTATTTTTCACATTAATAAGCATACAACAAATATGTGATGTGTAACATGTTTCAATGTCATAAATAATCTGTACTTCCTCCATTCCAAAATACTTATGTACCAACGGTAAAAAATCAGATTCGTAGTTTTTATCAACATTTTTATACAATTTAGACCGCTCCACGAACGCAATAAATTGTTAATTCCTTTTTAATCGGCAAAGGTATAGTTAATGTGTTTACTACGAAATCATAGCTTCGAAATAAAATACTGCATTCGCTCCACAGAGATGTGGCAATTGAAGGAAGACAATAGATTTAAATCTAAATGAGAGATAAAACGGCATGAATGCGAAGAATGCGCAGAATTCATAACACAATTACGTGCGAAAAAATAAACAAAAAGCTCGGTTCGCGCTAGTCCTATTTAACGAACAAAAGCTTAACCTATTTTACTCGTGTTGTACCTTTTCGCGGCGACTAACCTCTAATACTTCAGTCGAAACGATTCCCTCACGTGCATCCGCGTGTTATCACACACAAAAATGCACTCGACCATCGTTGCACAAACGGAACGGCTATCGCAACGTCCTCGCGGATCGAACGCGCACTTTGCAACTGGTTTTGTTCGTTAAAAACTAGTTACAGTTAAATATAGTAGCGGTATAACTTTTTCGCGCGACTATTGCCCGATAGTCAGCGAAACACTAAATGCATTGTCCGATGAGGCGAACGAGTGGTGTGGACGCTGCGTTGTCACAGAGCCGCGCCGCTGACGACTGCACGCGACGCACACCTACTCCGTAGACCAGGGGTGGCCAACCTTTTCGGCAGCAGGACCATAATTCGAAAATAGAATTACCATAGACCGAACTTTGTATAGCTAACGAAAAATAATAAATTCAGTTTGTTTAAATTTTCTGTATATTGTGCTTCCTATATAAATATAAGTATCTTTTATTCACGTCGTTCGCAATTTGGTCACCCTCGCTAGACCGTTATCTAGAGGGAGCGCTAACGAGGCTAAGAGAAAAATTAAATCATCAGGCAAAAGGGCGCAGGAAATTGAAATTAGGTAGACCGCAGACCGACATCGCTCGCGATCGTTGCTTTGAAGGCAAACACTAATGTCACATCCTAATTTATTGAGCGGCTAACTTAATTCGGTGATCGATAAAACGCCGGTGAAGTTGTAATCAATCATGGAAATAGTAAACAATTTAGCTATTCGGTTCTTGGAACAGCAATCAGTTTGAATAACAAGCAAATAATATAAGATAATTAGGCGGTTGCTTATTTTAGTAAAGATTATTACAAGTTTTCATTAAAATATAGGAATGTGTCTGTTTATCAATATACTTGGCTAATACAATAGTTTTTTGGGCATTATATTATTTACCCCACTTTTACAAATTATAGCTGTTACATCCCATCGTTCATGCGAGATCATCATCAAAGATAGACATAATATACTGTCAAACAAATAAACAAATTCTTAACTTTATAATATTAATTATAGATAAAATTATATATAATATTAATTATAGATAAAAATTAATACTTTAGTCGCAAGCATAGGACGGACGTATTTGTGTGTCTGTATCACATCGTTAGATCGTTTTTAATTATAATACAAGTATTTGATTTTTGCATTTCCTGACCAAAACTGTCTGTATCCCAGGGATTCGAACCCAGGATATCTTACGTTTAACGAAATATTACGCGACGCGTCTAATCAGTGGGCATTATATGCCAAATCGTATACGCATAAACAATGCGTTAAAGTGGTACGAAACCCGTCGTTAATCATAACAATTAACGGACGGTAACAATAGTCAGTGTTGAAAGTAAATATCGCGAAGAATTTTACAAAGGCCCTCGCGACTACGTTCCTTCGTTGAAAAACTTTCTTTTCAGAGCACTCCATCCTCATTACGAATTCGCCAATAGTGGAGCGGCCGCGCGCTACAATTTAGCGCGTTTTTGCAGCGTATACCGGTTTAAAAATCTTACAATAGCGCGTGAAAAGCTCACCCGAAAAGAATGTAATTTTTAATGATATAACGCAGTCAATCTTTACATTATAAAGTTCAGATTCGCACTGTCAAATATATATATAATAAATAAAGATATGAGGCCGCGAGACCCAGAGTAGCCTAACAATTGTTAGGTTGCTGTCAAACTTGACATCATTATTTTAGTCAAAAAATTGTTACACAAATAATAGTATAAATTTATTTTCGTCTAAGTTAACTGCGCATTTTATTTTCCGCCTCATTGAAAATTATGTGTTTATTAGGCCACTCTGGCTCTAGCAGCCACATATCACAATGAATTATATTAGCAATTATTAAATTTCATACATATTTATGCAAGTTTAGCGTTAAGCTGAGTTTCAGCCGTATGTAAATGAATGAAAAATTTATGTGCATATCTGTAGATGCTGTCGAAATGCATGCGAGAATTATAAATATTCTGTGTATGAACGAAGTACTCTTTTCAAATGGCTATAATATAAGATCATAATATTAATGTTCGACGGCCTCGTTGCTGTAATGGTAGCAAAGTACGGCTAATAATCGGCTAATAATAATGGGTCGTGGGTTCGATTTCCACCAAAACCAATATTTTTCTAATCCTACTACTATTATAAAGGCGAAAGTTTGTAAGTATGGATGTATGGATTATGGATATGGATTATGGATATGGATTGTTACTCTTTCACGTAAAAACTACTGATGGATTTGAATGAAACTTTACCACAATATAGCTTATAATCGAATAACATATAGGCTACAATTTTTGAGGTTTTTAATGTCGGTCGTAAAAAAACAATTTTTTGCGCTTACATTGCAAACGCTGACTGAATCCTACAAGATGATCAAAAAATGTACTACAGTATTGTACAACTTAAAAAGGTCTCCAAAAAGTCCGTGATGGTATATTTTATCTCTTAGGAATAACCCACAATAACCATTTTTTATCCTTTACTTTGTACGAGAAATAGGCTTATTTACGAAGCGATTTTGCAATACAGTATTAATCCTTATCCAATTAGTACTTAAATAATTGTGCATTTATTAAAGATCAATATGGTTTTTACAGATGTAATTAAATAAAATTTTCGAAGATATCACAGATTTAAAATGCAGAGTCATAGGAATTTCGGCGATAATACCGGCAGCGGTGCCAGGCGAACGGGGCGTGGGGGGAGCGGGGTAGGTGCGTAGGGAAGAAGTGGTCATGTAGTGCGCGACCCGAAATCGGGCAGACGCGTGAGGGCAGACGTCGTTGACGGTTGTGTCCGTTTTGCGAATTTTCAAGGCACTAGGATTTGATAAAAACGTATGGTCGCCTACTTTTAGTTATATAAGCCTAAGTTTTATTGCCAGGTTTCTTTTTGTTAGGATTACACGTACAAAAAGATACTTCATTTAATTCAATTACTAGAGGTTAATTAAATAGGCAAGGATTGCATTAAAGTACAATCATAACAATAACTACCGTACTGTATTTTTTGGAAGTATAGAAACAACACGTACTTAAGAATTATGCC